TATAAAGCTAATCATTCCAATCGTTTTGCTCTTTACCAACATACTTAGTACTATCTTTTAAAGTTTGTTTTTTTTTTAAATGCTTGAATGTTTGGATAACCTGTTCCTAAAAATCATTGATACTATCAAAGTCCTTTTCTATATTGTATAAAGAAAGAAGTTTGTGTAAAGACAGGAACATAAAACTATATATTTATATTTGTTTATAGTTGAATAAGTAAACTATGTACAGATATATAAAAATTAATAAGTATGGAAAGAGGAAGAGAACTAGGCAGATGGGAGACAAGTGTGAGAAATTCATTATGTATTCTATAATATATTTTTAATTACAAGAATAAGATTAAGAAATAATTTAGACCAAATTTTAACTCATAAACTTAAAACTTCCCTATATTCAGTACTAAAACTAAGGGATTTTAACTTAAAACTATCTATAAAAATGTGGAAAAATACAGTTTCATATGTGTTATGTCCATAGTGAGTCAATCAAAATGACTTTCTTTTGTCTCATCCTACATCTTAGTGACCCAACTGGTGTCCCATGTTATCAGAAATGCAAAACCCATTTAATACATTTAAGCTGCCTTTTTTTCCGTATTAATTTAGTTGTATATTAATTTGAATTCAATAACATGTCAGTAAATAATCTAGACAAATGAGTTTTCAAAACTATGACTTCTAAAAAAACCATGCTAAGCTCATTGACATAGTGAATCCAACCTCGCTACCTCAAACCTCCAGGGTGCCAGATATCACAAGTATTGTCCTCATTGGACTTTTTCTAACCAAATTTCACCTGTTTATTTGCAAAGGGGTATTAAAAACAGATCTGCAAAGACACAGAAAAGCTGAGTAAATTTGTTAATTAATAATATACAGAATATGCAGAAGTATGTTAGGGTATATACGGCACAGTTTAAGGCCACATTAACAAGAAACTATTCTATATACATGGTGTCTCAAAATAGTCATTTATTTGCCCAGTTTATTCCAAAGCCACAGAATGCTTCTTTGGTTTGTCCTATGTGGGGATAAGGCAGAAGGCCAAAGTTTATATAAGATCCAATAATATATTTCTGAATTCATGGACAAGGATGTGCTGAATCATACTAAAGCATTTTTTTAAATTTTCATGTGGAACCAGTCACACTAGACCAGAATAGGCTTACTGCTATTTCACTGTATCGCCACAGTCTTCAGAGATAATAATGACAAATACTAAACTGCTATGCATGAGGCCTGCTACTGGCAGGTGGATAAGGCGGCTGGATCCCGCATGGCCAACTGAGAACTGAGCGGTTTGAGTCCTGAACCCAGCAGCTTGAAAAATATGTTGGGCACGTGTGTGTACGTGCCCAAAATCCTGAGAGGAGAATGAAGAAGGGACTGTGCTGTGGCCATCCCCCCCAGGCGAAGGAGACGCTTTCTCTCTTTCTTTCTTTCTCTTTCTCCCTCTCTCTCCCCAGCAAGCACATATGTCCTATCACAAACTACAAAAATAAATAAATAAAGTTGGGGTTCATGAATTTTTTGATTTCTACAAAGAACTTACAAAAACACAGATACAAATCTCAGATCAGTCAAAAGTGAAACTGCCATTGAGTGTCACTGCGTCAGTACTAGGGAATGCCATGGTGCAACCCCATCCTCTTCCACCTCTGCCTCCTGTAGTAAGGATTTGGGGCATGTATGCACACGTACCTGGCATGTTTCTCAAGCCACGAATCCAGGACTCAAAAAAGAACAGGTGGCCATAGGGGACCCACCCGCTTTACCCACCAGGCCACCAGCCAGCCCTTCTTTTTTCATTTAAAAAATTCTGATAATTGATAGGGGTAGAAGCTTCTACTTCACAAATACATTTTTAAGAGTATTTACAAGATATACTTTAGTGACACTGAAATATACTTCTGAAAAAGTGTCCAGGGAGAGTCAACTCTCATTCATTTCATTATATATAACATTATTTATTCATCATCTCAACAAATAGTTACTAGGCACTTGCTAAATGTCAGTCACTGTTCCAGATTCATTATTTGGAATAGTGGACTCTATTACCTAAATACATAAACAGCACTGAAACAAATACTTTTAGGTTTAGCTGTGCTATTTTAGAAATTTAGATGACATTTCCTAAGATAGTTAATTAGGGAATATCTTTACTAAAAACTTTCCATTAACTGCAGTTCACATATATAATTCATAAAGGGTCTATCTTTCACTAATAAATGCACTCCCCTATCTACCTAGATGAACATATCACATAATTCTAGTAGCTTTAATGCCACTATTTCTGAATTTACTAGGACAGATTAAAACAGTCACTACTGTATGGAACTAAAGTCTAAAACTTGGAAACTAGGGACCCAGGAATCAGAGCAGACTAAAATGTCTCTTACTAAGGTTTTTCGTATCTTTTAGAATTTGGTATTTCTAAGAGTTAGAAGTTGTCATTCTGGGGCCAGTAGGTGGCATGGTGGTAAAAAGCGCTGGACTCTCACATGGCTGACCACGGTTCAAGTCTCAGACCTGGTGGTTTGCTTTCTCACCCGCCCCCCCGATCAAATGGGAAATAATAATAAGAAATAAACTTAAATAATTCTTTAAAAAAAGTTGTCATTCTGAAAGCATATCATAAAGACTACAAACCAATGGTCTATGGTTTAGAAAAACCTTATTTTTATAAATATAAATAAAATTATATATAATATATACATATATACACACACAGACGACTGCCCACATACATTACTCAATGTATACATGTGTCAAAACATAATATATCTCATAAATATGTACTATTACTGTATCAATAAGAAATTTAAAAATAAAAGATAAAAATAAAAAGCTTACATCAAGTGCCTTGCACCTAGAAAGAGCTCAACAGATGATAGTTTAAAAAGAAAAAAATGAGTTGGTCATACTTGGTTTCAAAATGTTAAAAATTTGGGCCATGGGCCAGCCAGTGGCATGGTAGTTACGGCAGCTGAATCCCACTTGGCTGGCTGCGTGGGTTGAGTCCCAGACCTGGTGGCCTGAAAAATACGCTGGGCATATATACATGCATGCACGAAATCCCAAAGGGAGAATGGAGGAGAAAGGATTGCAGCATGGCCATCTCCCCAAGGGTGCTTTCTCACCTTCTGTCTCTGTCTCTCTGGCAAATACATGCACCCTTTAGGAAATTAGGAAAGAAAAAGAAAACTCAAGCCAGCAGGTGGCATGGTTAGTTAAGGTGACTAGATTCCACATATCCAACTGCACTATGTAAGTTCCAGACCTGTCAGCTTAAAAAATACCCCAGATGCCTGGGCATGCATGCCCAAAATCCAAAAGGAAAAAGAAATGGAAAAATGAGTGCTGTGTGACCAATTCCATGTAGGGTGCTTTCTCATTTCTCTCTCTCTCTCTCTCTCTCTCTCTCTCACTCTCACTCTGTCCCTCTCTTGTTCATACTTAAATGAATGAAGAAAGAAAGAAAGAAAGAAAGAAAGAAAGAAAGAAAGAAAGAAAGAAAGAAAGTTAAATAAAATAATTCTTTTTAAAAAAGCAATTCCTCAATCCTATTAGAGTTAGGGCACTATTTACTTAAAAGATCAACAATTATTTTCATGAGATTGGGTAGAAGATCTAAGATTTCATTTTTCCATCTATTTAACAAAAAGAGGTATTGATCAAAAAGAAGTGTGGATCAAAAAAGTTCCCTATAGAAATGAATTTAATAACTGAAGTACAATGTAAAGGTGGTTTTAGGATGCACAAAAAATTTATTACATCAATCAACTGCAAAATTTCAACATTTAAATACTCAACTGATAGAGCAGAGCAAGGATGGTTAATAATACAGGGCAGTTAAAACATCTCCACTTAAAGCATTATAGCCTGAAGTATGATAAAAAGCAAAAAGTAAAATTTTATTCCTATACAAAGACAGACAACCCTGTCATTATTTTATATTATACTTTCATAGGAAAATAAATGATGCTACTAATTAGATAATCTAAGATAAATCTCTACATTAAGGAAAAATGAAAAACTTTTCATGGGAATTATCTAGGTAAGTTATTGTAACAGAAACTCGAAACGATAATATCTAAGCCTATTTTATTTGTGTTCCAATGTATAAAGAATAAATGCTTCTGTGCATTTTAGAAGTTACTCAATCTCACCAAATTTACAAAGCCAAGTCTTCAAGTCAGTTCTTCCCTTTATATTTTCACTAGCACCATCCTCCTTTTAGATTTTAATGACTCACTCCTAGAGTGATACAAAAGACTAATGTGTTGTCACCTTTTTAATCTTGGTCATGTAGACATAACCAGGATATTCATTCGCCTGGTCCCTTTGCAGAGTCTCAAAACACCAGTCTCAAAACACAGTCTCTTCCTACTGGCCCAAATAATGAAGACTAAAAATCTTTTAATTTGCCAATTTTAGGTAAAATTAAAATACTATGAACAATTTTCCATCTGAATCTCATATATTTACCATTTATTAATAATCAATGTGGCACTGACACATTGAAAATGAACTTATTCACAAAAACCAGTCCTGTAAGACTACCATGCTAAAGAAGAAAACTGTAATGTGGTTCCTACAGCACAATTCCATAGTGCCTTCCCTAGCATCAATCAGTTAACAAGCAAATATTTATTGAGGTTTACATGCAAGACACTATAAAGAAAGAAAGAAGAAAGTCAACTTGATCTCCGAGCTCGATATATTTTTTTTTAGCTGAAGTGGTAGCTCACAAAAGACGCTAAGATGTACTCTGATGTGTCTTTGTGGACCAGATTTTAATCTTGCAGTGTCTCTATTTTCGTAATCTATCCCTTAAATTCTATTAGGTATTAGATCAGCTAGTAAGGTATTACTAAAACAAAGTACTGGACCATATTTCTCACTTGTTAAGCCCTTGAGAATTAGTGATTCATGCCACTAAATGATTTAAATTATTTTATTGTACTGATACAAAATTATTTTAGTCTATAAAAGCAACAGCTGAAAAAACAAGATCCAAAACCATGTAATAATTATATTTCTCCCATCTCAAAAAGTTTCTCAAATTTTTCTCACGTAAAATGCTGGATCACAAAAGGACCTATATAAAGGAAAAGAAGAGGCTAATAAATATAAGCTAAAAACAAATATTAGAAGCCAAATTAAGCTCTCCACAACTTCTTAATTACAGGCCAAGATTTAATTACACTTAAAGCAAAATAATTTGGCAGGTAACCTCACTGAGTCACTTTGTCACTGTAACCCAAGTCCGTCACTTGTTTCTTTTTCTCCTTTTTTTTTTTTTTAAACATGCCTAACATTTTTAATTCTTCAGTGCTGTTTAGCTGTCTTTCTACAAAATTACTTGCAGGCTTGATCATTTATTTTAGTAGGGCTAGGGTATCTAACAAGTTAGAGACAAAGATAAATGAAGAAGAAAGTATATTATAAATTAAAATTCAGCAACAAAGCGCTTAACCTTTGACCACTGTGTTGATTATGGTTTTATAAGTCTGCAAAATATTATTAACTTGTAATACTGTAAAAGCATGGCTACCTAGCACATCTCTAAATAATTAGTTTGCTTCATAAGGCAAGAAAACAATACCAGCTCTTTATCCAGAGTACCTCAAGAGGGAAATCCTTTATGCTGACATCTACAAAAGATTGGCAGTAATGAGGATCCATGTAAATCAAACTGTCATCTACAAGGACAAAACAGAAGACAAGTAATTCAAAAAACACCTTATTATTACACTGCTTACAATCCAATTTCTATGTAGAGCAGCTGAAAAAAACCTGGGAGTAACAGCTTGCCAGACTGATATTCATTGACTGAAACATAGGTTTGCACAGGATAGATTAACTTTTGCATAATCAAATATGCTTGTATAAGCAGAATTTTTATAAAGTGATGAGACTGTCATTTAATTTTTGGTGATAAAATTACTTTCACAAACACACAATTATATTCTACAGTTTGCATATGAAAAATGTATTGCACTTCTTTATCCTGACAGGAAGAACATATTGCTTGTCATTTTATCATCAACTAGCACCACTAAAACTGGTAAAAAGTAAATATGTAAATAGCAACTGCCAGAATGTGGCAGCAGTGTCTTCTGAAGTTTAGTGAAACCAATAAATTATGCCTTGTTTATGCAATAACAGAAATTAAACATATACTTTACAGAATCCAATTATGTTGTGGACCAAGTGACAAATGAGTAGCTATGGTAGGACTAATGAATGTGTAAGGTACTTGTTTTGCTCTGTTAATTATCCTGTTTCTAAGTGATCTCATATTAACTTTCTGACTTAAAAAGAAGAAGAAGAAGGAGGAGGAGAAATACACTTTACTAAATTACTAACCTTGAAATCCAGCAAAGTAATATGACTGTTTGGGCTTGCCACCAATAATACCAACACAATATTCAAGGCTTAAAATACCCTATTAAAAGAAATTAATAGAAATTGAATCAAGAGATGAATGATAATTATTCAAATGCTAAATTTGTATTACAAATATTAGTTCCCTAACTTTTCTTTTTCTTTTATTATGTTTTTTTTAAACCCTAACCCAGTAGTTTCCTAACTTTTCAACACCAGTTATTTTTATTACATTTGTCCCACGTTCTAAAACCCTCATCTTCCAAAATGCCTTCTCTTTTCTTTCAATTATTCAACATTAACATGAATAAAGCAAATATTATGATCAGCAACAACCTCTATATGCCAGACAAAGAAATATTCATGTTACCACATTAAGCAATAAAATTTCTGCAAAAGCCAAAACACTGGCCCTTTCAGATAGCTGACACAGCAATACTGCAATCAATGTACTATTTTTATCAGGCTTTTTGAAATGCTGAAAATAGTTCTTAGTCCTAACTACTGCTTTTATTGAACCTAAAGTATTAGAACCCAAAACTGAAAACTTTCTCTAATTAACAGCACTCACTTGACAAATTTCTTATGCTAGCTTATTTAAATAAAAAGAACAATGAAAAACACTTAATCTAAGGAAAATAATAATAATTATTATACTTGAAGTCAATTTATTTTAGTAACGTAAAATACCAAGGATACCTCAATAAATTGTTTTATATGTCCCTCAGCATCTATTCTAAGTAGAATTCTAAGTTGGACCAAGTCACTTTATACCTAGTTTATAAATAGTAGAGTCTACTATACACACTATACACACACAGTGGAATCGATCAATGTCAATATTTCCTGAATTAATTATGGCATATCTTAAAAACACTAATCATGATAAAGTAGATGTATAAAACAAAAAATATTGAATAATAGGTATATTTCCTTCTCATAAATGAGAGAATTCTTGAAATCTAGAAAACAGAAAAATAAAGAGGCCTAGCCACAGCAGTGCTGGTGGTAGGGCACTGCTGTGTAACACTGGAGCCATATAGGAGGCCCCAGGGTTAGATCCTGGGTCAACCTGAGCACCCCAGGTACGTCACTATGCACCTGTGATCCTGGCTGGCCAGGAGACTGGGAAAAGGGTCATAGCATGGTGAGAACCCTGTGCAGGGTCTCTTGTCTTTCTGTCTCAAGAAACAAACTTTAAAAAGAAAGAACGGAAGAAAGAACAAATGAACAAACATAGGGAAACATGCTCCTTTTCCTTTAACAAGTAACCAAACCATAGATGGTTTTTGTTTTTAATTTAATTGCTTTCTAAAAATAACATGGAGTCATTGTAAAAAAAAAAAAAATACACATAACAGGAAATACAGAAAAAAGTACAAATCTCCTCTAGACCAATGCCCAGAGCTCATCATTAATAACATTTGGGGGAACACCTAAGAAGGTATTCCATCCATCTATATGGTAATAATCGGAAACATCTTTAGAAATATAAGTTTAGGGGCCAGCAGGTGGCATAGTGGTTAAGGTGCTGGACTCCCACATGTTTAACCACAGTTGAGTTCCAGACCCAGTGGCTTCAAACTCATGCCGGGTTCATGTGAGTGTGTGCCCAAAATCCTGAGAGGAGAATGGAGGAAAAAGGACTACAGTATAACCATCCCCTCGGGGGGATGATTTCTTGCTTTCTCTCTGTCTCTCCAGCAAGTGCACATGCCTGAAAGCAAAAAAAAAAAGAAAAAAGAAAAAAGAAAAACGAAAAAAGAAAAAGAAAAGAAAAACACACTCAACGATAGAAATACAGATTTATATATGTGGCATCACATAATACATGAAATCATGACCTTGCCACTCATTACATCATGAATATCTTTTCATATTGGTATAGATCTACATTATAGTATTTAATGACTGCAAAATATTTTATTTTATGAAGATTACAAATTGTGCTTTAAAACTCCTAAAATGAACACCTAAATTGCTAAATCTACTCTAGTCTATGCAAAGAAAATACATATGTCAAGTTGTTTCAGGTTGTTATAAATAACCTTTTGCTGTGGTTTGAATGTTTCTCCTCCAAAATCCATGTGCTGAAAACCGGACTACCTAATGCAACAATGTTGAGAGGTGGGTCTTTTGGAGGTGCTTATTCATAATGATGCTGTCCTCATAAACAAATTCAGGTCACTATATAAAGGGCTTGCTAGGGGCCAGCATTTGGCCTGGTCACTAAGGCACCGAACTCCCACATGGCCAACTGCTGTTTGAGTCCCAAACCTGCTGGCTTGAAAATCATGCCAGGCATGTGAGCATGCATGGCCAAAATCCCGAGAGAAGAGTGAAGAAGGGATTGTGGCATGGCCAATCACCTTCCTAGGAAGGTGATTTATCACTTTCCCTCTCTCTCTGGCAAACACACACTCCTTATGGCAAAAAAATCTAAAAAAAAAAAGGGAGGGGCGATGGGAGGGCCTTGCTGAACTGAGTTCTCTCTCTTCTGCTTTTCTGTCATGTGAGGACAGAGTGCACCCATTTTGGCCCCTCTGCCTTCCACTATGTGAGGATTCAGTAAGAAGGCCCTCATCAGATGCTAACACCCTGATCTTGGTCTTCCCACTTCCCAGACTCCAGAATTATAAGAGAATATATTTCTGTTCATTATAAATTACCCAGTCTCAGGTATTATGTTGTAGCAGCAGAAAATAAACAACCTCCAAAGAAAAACTCCATATATTTTCAGTCTTGTAAAACTATCATAGAGGATTTTTGGAAATAAGAGCTACAAAATTGGAAAAGTTAAACAGAGAAGGCATGCTAATTTAAAATCTTAGTGCTAACTAAAAAATAATTTAAGATAAAATTGTATCCCAAAAATTCACTGAATAATAATGGACTGTTTCCCCACCCAAAATAAAAATCCTTAACTGGAGACTGTCTTACTTTAACTTGAGGCAAACTGACTGGCTGAAATGCAATGTTTATGCTAGAGGGAATCATGAGGAAGAGCAAGTTCTAAGTCTCTTATACCTGAAGAAAGAAAAAAAAAAATACATAGCAAAGAAGCAGCACTGTTTCTTCTCAGAAAAAGGATGGTTCCAAGTAATGGAAGAAAGATTTTGGTTCTTGACATCTATATTTCCTTTGCAACAGACTAGAGCAGATTTAGTAATAAACACTTAGAAGCAAATTAGGAGCTAAATGCATTACATATGAGAGGCAGTGTCTTTGGAGAGTTGAAACACACTTCAGGTCTTAAAAAAGCTTCTTTATCCTTATTGACCTGGGTCCATTAAGCAATAAATAGGACTGAAGTAATCAGTCAAAAAGGAAAGTCCTTGAGACCGGCAGGTGGCATGATGGTAAAGGGCACTGGACTCCCACATGGCCGACCATGGTTCAAGTACTGGACCTGGCGGCTTGCTTTCTCCCTTTCCCTCTTCTCTCTCTAGCTCCCTCTCCCTCTCTGGTCAAATTGAAATGGATGAATAAATAAATAAAGTTAAATTTTTAAAAATTCTTTAAAATAAAGGAAAGTCCTCATTTGTTTTGCTGAAGAAAAAGAACATACTGTATTTTCCTCAAACTAGGTCCTCAAAAGATAGACAGATAGATAGATAGGTAGACAGATAGATAAATGAATGAATGAATGAACGAACTTCCCATGGTGAAGGCTGATGAAGCACCCCTAAAATTCTTTCACCTCATAAAATGTAGTAGGATGCTATGATATTTCTGAAATACTGTGGGGTTACCTTGACTAACAAATTTCAAAAATAGAACTATGAGGCCAGCAGGTGGCATGGTGATTAAGGTGCTGGACTCTCACATGGCTGACTGCAGTTCAAGTTCTCAACCTGGTGGCTTGAAACTCATGCTTGGCTCATGTGCATGTATCCCCAAAATCCCAGGAGGAGAATGGAACAGAAGGGACTATGGCATGGCCATCTCCTCTGGGGGGTGATTTTTCATTCTCTCTCTCTGTCTTTTTTGGTGAACACACATACTTACCTAAATAAATAAATAAATAAATAAACTAACTAACTAAATGGTGAATTTTAGATGATAAGATATATTGATTTGACAGTGCAACTGCTGACAAAAGATGGTGGAGGGAGAGGATGAGAAAATTATTCTCTTTTTAGAGCTATTAAATACATTACTTTTTCACTTCTGAGTACCTCTTTATATGCTCTCACTCTGGCTTTTGACCTAACTGCCCCCTCTGGCCAAGCACAACATCTACCATATGACCTAATTCACTCAACCATTTCAGCCATTTACCTGATCGCTGAAAAATTAAAATGCTGCAATAGTCTCTAGTCTCTCATTTTAGTGGGCTACAGTGTAAATCAAGTGAGAGAAGCTCAAGGAAATGCTCTATTTTTAAAAGTCCATATTCTAGGGAGAAGTATAATAAGCAATGGAATAAGAGTCAAGAAAGTTCCAGTCTCTACCAGCTTGCTCTCTGAACTTGAACACATCACTTAACTTCATGTCATTTCTATTTTATAAAGAATCCATAACCAGATATTGTGAGAACAAACTGAGTTAAAATTATACTGAAAAGTTTTATATGAATGAAAGTTAACAAATATTTATCTATCTATACATCTTTTACTATAGGGCGTGTACACTCACAGGAGAGGGGGTGAGAAATCACCACTCAGGGGGTGCCATGCTGCAATCACTTCTCCTTCTTCATCTCAGGATTTTGGGCAAACATGCATACATGCCTGACTTGTTCCTCAAGTTGCAGATCCAGGACTCAAACTGTGCAATGGCCATGTGGGATCCAGCCACCTTATCCACCATACCACCAGCTGGCCCAACAAATATTTACTGAATAATTTCTATTGCTAGGCACTGAGGATCACCTTAACAGCTTACTCAGTTTGTTTTACTACAGTTCCAGCTCCAATAACTCATATAAGAGCATTAGGCAGTGCTGCCAACTGTTAATACTACCAATACCATCAAAGAGCAAAGATCTCAACCAAATGAAACACATCAAACACCATCTGTAGCATGTTACACCAGGAATGGAGTTTTGGCTAATGCAGTCTGTTCCCAAATTCTATCATTGCCTAATCCTCTCATGGTAAACAAAGGCAGAGAGAATCCAATTCGGATTTGGTTAGAACCCACCTACAGATGAGAACATGCCAGAAGTTTGAAAAACTTAACAGGTTCTCTAGATGAAGCAGTTCACAACTTCTTATATTTCAGCAATAATTCTACTAAGGAAGAAATAAAGATGTCAAGCATCTTTATTTGGGGGACACATATGTTATTAATATATTACAGTGTTATCAGAACAAGTGTCCCTACAAAATCTTGGTGACTATTAAGAAAAGTCAATATACCAACAAGAAGACTTCCAATATTATGTTAACAACCACTCTAGATGTTTTTTAGAATGGGAACAATTTAGCCGGAGGATGTATGTTGTATCTACATACAGAGAGACTATGATAGGGAATTAATGCTTTATATAAGGAACAAATTGGTACTGAATCACAAAGGAAAAATCTAGACTATTTCAATAGCACTCTATCCTACAATATCCCATTTGAAGAATTTCATCTCTGGCCTTAAAAACAGACTATAAAAATGAGAAATTTTATTAAAACTCTGAAAAATAATGTAAGAACTATAATCTTAATCAGAAAGTAAGTACAGTTGTCCCTTGGTAGCCCAAGGAGATTGTTCTAGGACTCCCTCAGATATCAAATCTATGAATGCTCAAGTCCCTTATATAAAACAGCATAGTATTTGCGTATAACAAATACTATGCACATCCTCCTGTATAATTAAAATCATCTCTAGATTTCTTATAACACCTAATATAAATGCTAGGTAAATTGTTGTTAAAGTGTATTTTTATCATTTTAATTGACATAGAGTTGTAAATATTTATAGGATACAGTACAATTTTTTTTAAGAGAGATTTTTGCGATAGGGTGTGTGTGCTTGCTGGAGAGACAGAGAGAGACAGAGAGACAGAAAGTGAGAAATCACTCCTTGCAGGAAGGCATGGCCATGTGGAATCCAGCCACCTTATCCACCATGCAATGCTTTCTCCTCCAGTCTCCTCTCAGGATTTTGGGCACACACACACATGTGCCTGGCATGAGTTTGAAGCCACCAGGTCCAGGATTTGAACCATGGTCAACCATGTGGGAGTCCAGTGATATAACCACTATGCAATCTGCTAATCCCTACAGTACAATTTTTAAAATATATGAATACATGCATAATGATCAAGTCAGAGGAATAAACTTACTCATCATCTCAAACATTTACCATTGCTTCATGTTGTAAACACATAAATCCCTCTCTTATATCTTCTGGGTTGTTGGAAAAGTCATGACATGTTTTTCTATGCAAAAATTTGTCACAGCTTTTCTGATGATGCAATATTATGAAATATACAATGAAACATTATTAACCGTAGTTACTCTACTGTGCTACAGTACTGTAGAATCCAGTCCTCTTACCTACGTGCAAGTTCATTTTGTATCTGTTAACCAAGTTCTCTCCATCTTCCAATTCACCCTCTCTTCCCCAACCTCTAGTATCTACCACTCCACTTTACACTTCAATGCAATCAGATCTTCTAGCTTCCAATGAGTGAGAACACCATTTCAACTTCTACACAATCATATCTTCTAACTTCCATAAATGAGTGAGACATGTAATCATCTTTTAGTGCCTGGATTATCTCTCTTAGCATAATTTCTTCCAGGCTCATCCACATTGCCTCAAGGTACAATATTTCATCCTTATTTATGGATGAATAATATACCATTTTGTATATATATCACATTTTCTTATTCATTCATTCATTCATTCATATCTTAACTATTGTGTACAGTACTGCAATAAATACAAGCGTGCAAGTATCTTTTTGACATATTGGTTTCCTTCCTTTTGGTGGGATTACTGGATAAGGCTATCTTAGTTTTAGTTTTTTGAGGAACCATCATATTGTATACCATAATGACTATTCTAATTTACATTCTACCAACAGTGTATAAGATTCCTCCTTTCTCCACATCCTCACCGGCACTTATTATTCTTTGCTTTCTTTTATAATGGCCATTCTAACTGGGGTGAAGTGACACTTCCTTGTGATTTTGATTTGCATTTCCCTGAAGAAGAGTGATGTTGGCCACTTTTCCACATATTTGTTGGCTACTTGTATGTCTTTGAAAACTGTCTGTAAAGATTGATTGCCTATTTTAAAATCAGACTCTTTTTCTGCTGTGAGCTGAGGAGCTGAGTTCCTTTTTTTTTTTTTTTTTTGAGAGATTTTTGCTATAGATGTTTGTGCTCACAGAGAGACAGAGACAGAAAGCGAGAAATCGCCCCCACCCCAGGGGGATGGCCATGTTGAAATCCCCTCTCTTCTCAGGATTTTGGGCACACACACATACCCAGTGTGAGTTTTAAGCCGCTGGGTCCAGGACTCAAACTGCGGCCAACTGCATGGGAGTCCAGTTATGTAACCATTATGCTATCTGCTGGTCCCAAGCTGAGTTCTTTATATATTCTGGTTATTAATCTTTTGTCAGCAGCATAGCTTGCAAATATTTTCTCCAACTCTGCAAGTTGTCTCTTCACCCTGTTGATTGTTTCCTTTGCTATGCAGGAGTTTTTAGTTTGATCTAATTCTATTTGTTTATTTTTTCTCTTGTTTCTGTGCTTTTGAGGTCTTACGTATCTGGTAAATCTTGGCCCAGATCAATGTCTTGAAATGGTTGCCCTACATTTTTTTCTATTTATAGTAATTTTAGCTTCAGGCCTAATGTTTAAGTCTTTAAACCATATTGAGTTCATTTCTGTATATGGTGAGGGATATGCATAATTCTTTTGCATATGGAGATCTAATTTTCCCAGGATTATTTACTGAAGCAACTATACTTTCCTCAGTGATGTTCTTGGCATCTTTGTCAATAATCAGTAGGCTGTATATGCATAGATTTATTTATTGGATCTCTATTCTGTTCCATTAGTGTATGTGTCTGCTTTTATGCCAGGACCATGCTATGAAGGAAGAGCAAAGCTGGAGACATCACACTGACTGACTTCAAAATATACCATAAAGATGTAATAATCAAAACAGCATGGATCTTTTGTGATTCCTTATGAACTTTATATTCTCTTTCTGTGAAGAACGCTATTGGTATTTTGATAAGAATTGCAAATAATCTGTAAATTGCTTTGGGTAGTAATTTTAATAGTAGTAAATATTCCAATCCATGAACAGGAAAAGTTGTTCAGTTTTTTTCATGTCTTCTTCCATTTTCTTCATCAGTGTTTTATAGTTTTCATTGTAGAGATCTTTTGCATTTTTTGGTTAATTTTATTCCTAGGGTTTGATTTTGGTTTTGTAATTACTGACAATGGGGTTGCTGTCTTGATTTATTTTTTTAGTTAATTCATCACTGGTATATAAGAATGCTACAGATTTTTTATGTTAATTTTGTACACTATAACAAAATTAATTGGGACCAGCAGTTAGCGTAATGGCTATGTCGCTGGACTCCCATGTAGTCGACCACGGTTCGAGTCCCGGACCTGGTGGCTTAAACTCACGCCGGGTGCATGTGCGTGCATGCCCAAGATCCCGAGAGAAGAATAGAGGAGAAGAGATTGTGGCGTGGCCATCCCCCCTGGGGGGTGATTTCTCACTTTCTGTCTCTCTGTCTGTCTGGCGAGCACACGTGCCCTATAGCAAAAACCTCTCCAAAAAAACAATTTTAAAATTAAATAAATAAATAAATAAAAACAACAAAATCAATTCTAAGAGTTTTTGGGTGCAATCTTTAGGTATATATATATATATATATATATAGTCATGCCATCAATTTGACTTGCTCCTTTTCATTAGATGTCTTTAATTTCTTTATCTTATATAATTGCTGTAGCCAGGACTCCTAATATTATGTCAAATAAGAGTGGGGAAAGTGAACATTACTATGTAATTTTTACTTTATTTTCATTTGTGCAGTTTATGTTTTCAAATATTTTGGATCTGCAGTTGATTTAATCCATGGATACAGAACCTGAGGATACAAAGGACCAACTGTCAATGTATTTCAGCAGTTACTTTATCATACCTGAATGTCGTGGCACCCAAAACATGCTAACATAACAAAACCGGTTTTTTGGAACAAGAAACAGAATTATGTGTCTTCAGATAGAACTGGTTAATATGAAGAAAACAAAATTGGAACCTACCCCCGCACCCCAATACTATCTCCATTATTTCTGTCTAGAGAAGTAATAACCTCTTGCTGATCTCACAGTGACACAGAAAACAAATTATGAGATAATACAGCACTAATGGAAAGTTTTATTCAGTAATTATTACGATTTAGTTTAAGATTAGTTTCATGAATAAAGGTACATAATTTTTCCAATCATAAAGTCAACGAAACTATAGCGCTATTACAAATCATGGTTGTCGCTGCATCTGCATCACCTTGATTAGTTACAAAGATTAAAAACGCTAATCATTTTGTCATAGAACACTGCTTCTTCAACTGACATCTGATCTTGTAATGTTAAAATTTTACATCTTTAATGTCAAACTTTACAATGTACTACTGTAAAATCATCACTACTGATTTAATAGAGGAAAAAAGACTACAAATTTTCTGCATTATTCATATTAGCTAGTAATGCCTCCAAAACTGAGCAGTTATTTCATACCTTTACAAACTCTAAGTAGTCCGTGTTGGTTCTTTCTCCACCAAGTCTAACAGGAACTAGAATAATAACAGCTTTATCATCTGCATTATCGGCTGTCATCGCAGTTCTTTGTTTATCAATTACGTCAGAACTGTACACTAAGAAAAACATAAATATGAGTTACAATTTTTAAAATGATTTTCAGAAACATGTTCATCCTAATCCCCCCCCTCCAACCAGTCATCTGATCTCTGACATCAGTATCAAGGTCCCAGCAAGTTAAAAATACCTACCTCATGTATGTATTCGATAGAGATATAGTAAATAGCTACTAGCAGCACTGGCACTTCAGCTGTGGGCAAACAGGAAAAAATCCCTGCCCTCATTGAGCTACACTCTAATAAGGGGAAATGACAACAAATAAGTAAAATATAAGACATATCAGATGGTGACAGATACTTTGTTAAACAAAATGAAGAGAGAAAGACAGAGTATGGATGGAAAAACGCTGACAGAGGGCGGCAATTTAAAATAAGGTGACCAGAAAGGTACTAAGAGAAAGCAACGGCTTTTTCCCTCCCTGGCTGCCTGAGGATAAAAGATGAGGCACAGATGATTTGAAGGGTTTGGACCTAAGCAAACAAGGTAAGCTTACAAAGACTTAAGAGACGAAAGGAGGGAAAACATACAAGGGAAAAATTGGGAATTCAGTTGAAGACAGTGTTACCCATGCAAGAAACCGTTATGCCAGCCCTGTGGCTTAGTGGCTAAAGGAGCTGAATCCCACATGGTCAAGTGCAGTTTGAATCCTGGCCCCATCAGCTTGAAAAACACCCAGGACACGTATGCATGCATGCTCAAAATCCTAAAAGGAAGATGAAATGGAGGGGAAGTGGGGGCAACATGAGCATGCTCCATGGGGATGCCTTCACTCTCTTTCTTTTCCTCTCTCTCTCCAGTGAGTGCACATACCCTCTGGCAAGTTAATATATAAGAAAGAAAGAGCCAGAAAGAAAGGAACTCTAACTAGATAGTTAGAGACATATGTGACTGGAGTTTAGGGGAGGATCAGATACACCTATAAATGTGGGGACTGCCAACATACTGATGGCCCTCTAAAGCCATGAGACTGGGTGAATTCAAATCAGTGAAGACAGAGAAAGAGATAAAGTCTAAAGGCTGAGCACTGAAAATCAAAGCCTAGAGGTCAAGGAGATAAGAAAAGCAAAGCAAAGCAAAGCAGAAAGAAAAGAAGGATGATCAGATATAAAGGAATGGACAGGGAAGTAAAAAGAAAACCCTCACAGTAGTGCTTTGGAAACTAAGTAAACAGAATAAGGAGAGGAAAAAATGGCCAGCTGTGGCAAATGCTGCTGGATGTAGACTGAGAAAGTGATCACTGGGTTGAGAAAGATTAAATTATTGATAAGAACAGTTTTGGTAGCCTGCTGGGTGTAACAGCCTAAGTGGAGTAGTCCAAGGGAAAACAGGAGGATATGGTGGAAGCAAATATAGTCTTCTCCCCATCCCTCTCTTTCTCTCTAGCAAGCACATGCACCCTCCGGGAAATTAAAAAAAAAGAAAAAGAAAAAAGTCCCAGGGTATAGTGTATAGTCCTAACTATTTAAAGCCATAGAGATAGAAGCAATTATAATGGGAGAAAATACAGAATGAAAAGAGAAAATAAATGGAAAAATGAAACTTTTAAAAACATTAATAAAGACAGAGGAGAAAAAATTATTGATAAAATCTGGCTTCACTGAATTCCTAATCCTAAGTCTATTAAAATTACACTAATATAAATTCTCCCCTTAGGATTCTTAAACATGAATGATGAAATTTTTTTAAAACAAATTCAAATTCAAATTGCACAAACCATTTTTTTTTTTTTGGAGAGGTTTTCACTATAGGGCAGGTGTGAGCTCCCCAGACAGAGAGAGACATAGAGACAGAAAGCGAGAAATCACCCCCCAGGGGGGATGGTCATGCCGCAATCCCTTCTCCTTCATTCTCCTCTCGGGATCTTGGGCACGCACACACACGCGCCCGGCGTGAGTTTTAAGCCACCGGGTCCGAGACGCGAACCGCGGTCGACTACATGGGAGTCCAGTGACATAGCCATTACGCTAACTGCTGGTTCCCACCATTTCTATAATGATGAACTTTGTATTGTTAATTAAATAACTATGTGCAACAATTAAAGACCAAGGCTGACTGATAGTAATAAAAACCAACAAGCAGCTTTTTCTTCCCTGGCTGCCTGAGGATATACCGCCATCATGAATGACACAGTAACTATCTGAACCGGCAATTCATGACCAACCGACTACTTCACAGGAAAAAAAAAAAGGTCCTTGATGTCCTTCACACCAGGAAGGCAACAGGACCTAAGACAGAAAAACCAGCAAAGATGTGCAAGACCACAGCAGATGTCATCTTGGGGTTGGGTTCAGAACCCACTTCGGTGGTGGCAAGACAACTGGCTTTGGTATGATTTATGATTCTTTGGATTATGCAAAGAAAAATGAACCCATAGACTTGCAAGACATGGGCTTTATGAGAAGAAAAAGATGGCAAGGACACAGTGAAAGGAACGCAAGAACAGAATGAAGAAAGTCAGGGGGACTGCGAAGGCCAATGTTGGTGCTGGCAAAAAGTCGAAGCAGTAACCATCTGTGGTGATTGTGCGGATTTTTCATAAGAGGATTAATAAATTCAAAAATTTTCATGTAAAAAAAACTGGCAAATTCATATATTTATTTAATAATTAATTGTTTAAACACATCCTTAGACTTAATCAGAACTCCTAACACGACAAATTTTATTTGCAAGTCTTCCTACCTGAAAAACATAGTATTTGCAAAATCTACATACTCATCTGAAAATCAGTTTTCACTTTCCTATGGCTATAAATACGGCTATCAGTCTTTCTTTAAAAGAAAACTGACTCAGCTGCAGTGGCGTATACTGCTAGGATGCTGCTACACTGAGGCTGAGACCACATGGGGGACCCAGTTTTGATTTCCCACCTAACCTAAACAGGCACTGTCGCCTATGTGTAGTCCTAGCTAACTGGACTGTAATAGTAAAGATAATGTTTAAAAAAAAAAACTCTCATTCTTGCTCTTAAAAGAGAAAAAGATGAAAAGAAAAAAGAAATTAACCTTAACACAGACCAAAAAAAAAGAAAAAAGGCATCTATATTTGGTAATACGAACTGTAATTATCAGGATAGCCTTAAGCATTTTGTAGCTACTCCTATACTAAACATGATTGAAATACATTTAACTTTTCCAAACATTAGCATATTTTATCTTAAGCGCACTGCTGTAAAAAAATAAATAAATAAACAGTATAAGGTGGCTTATGTGAAGGTCCTTTCATCTTATTAAAAAATTAAGGTCTTGGGGCTCAGCAGGTGGCATGGTGGTAAAGGGTGCTGGACTCCCACATGGCCGGCCATGGTTCAAGTCCCAGACCTGGCATCTTACTCTCTCTCTCTCTCTCTCGGTCCCTTTCTGGTCAAATTGTAAGTTAAGTAAGTAAATAAATAAATAAATAAATTTAAATAAAATGATGGTTTTTTAAAAAAATTAAGGTCTCAGGGTCAGCAGGGGGCATGGTGGTTAAAACACTGGACTCCCACATGGCCAATGGTGGTTCAAGCACTGGACCTGACAGCTTGCTTTCTCACTTTCCCTTTCTGTTTCTCTCTCCGGTTAAATTAAAATAATAATAATAACAATAAATACAATTAAATAAAAATAATTTTTTTAAAAAGAAATTAAGGTCTCTGTTTTATCCTCCAAAAAGTTTCAAAATTGCTAAAGATAGCAGTAATCAAACAGAAGGCTCAAAACAAAGCAAAAATCTGAACAATAGCTGCATCATTACTAGATGATATACTGAAGCATTAGTGATGAACATATTCAGTTCCTCATCAAATATACTAAAAAATCTCTTTCCGTGAAGCACAGCCACCAGTTAGATAACACCTGGCACAGAAGCAGCCCAAGTATGTAAATGCGTTACATTTTCCCTTCTCTCTCTTTTCAAGCAGTCATTGGAAAGGCTGAAATTTTCTTTGTGGATTTATTTTAATATTGCAACTAAAAATTTATAGAATGTTTTAATTTTTAAAAAATGTTGTAAGTGCTTAAAATGTTTGCTGTTTAGGAGCAAAAGTTTATAAGCTCTCATTCCTTTCTCCTTGATCATTTAAAGTACAACTGGGAAGATAAGCTGAAGACATATAAATAAAATAGATAAAAAAAAATAAAAGAACTATACACATATTCCTTACCTGTACAATCTTGTGCAACATAAATAGTTATTCCTTGTAAATCAGGGTGTCTTGCTTCTTCAACTGCTTTTCTAAGAAAATAACAAACACCATTCTTTAAGACACTAACATTCCCAGTGGGTAACTAAAGATTTCATTTGGAGAGGAAAAAAGCCATCATTGTCTTGACTTTCCTCTTTAACCTATAGTGCCTGCTACCCAAAACCATTTAGTGCCTGCTATCCGAAATCATCATCTGGGGACAGCAAGTGGCATGATGGTTAAGGTGTGGGACTCCCACATGGCTGACTGCAGTTTGAGTCCCAGACCCAGCAGCTTGAAAATCACACTGGGCACATGAGCATGTGTGCCCGAAATCCCTAGAGGAAAATGGAGCAGAAGAGACTGTGGTATAGCCATCTGCCCTGCTGGAGATTTCTCACTTTCCTTCTGTCTGCCTCTCACTGTTTGTTTCTCTCTCTCTCTCTCTCGCTCTCTCTCTCTCGCCTCTCTCTCTCTCTCTTTCTCATGCACCCTATGGCAAAAATCTAAAAATAATAATAATAATAATAATAATCATCATTTGGGCTCAGCCTCTGGCACATCAGTTGCATGCTGGACTGTGGTGCTGGAAGCCATGTGGCCCACCGTGGTTTGATTCTCTGGCCCGGTTGACCTGAAACAGGCCAGGTGTGTTTGTGTGCCTAGGATCCTCAGGGGTCGGACAGGAAGGGGATCACGACATGACCAGATCCTGCCGTGGTATGCTTCTCTCTCTTTCTCTCTCATGAATACTCATACCTCTCTATCACACAAACACATAAGCAAAAACTATCACCAGAATGGTATCAGAAATCAAGTATTTTTCAAAGTTGAGTATTATACTAAATTACTCAAAGAATATTAAAATATAAAATGTTTTTAAAAATTAGTGTATATAAAGCTGTATCCCCCCCCCCTACATAAAGGATTTCTCTCAACCCCTTACCTGGCTATATAAATATTTTCTAAGTAGTAATATTAGTATGATTTCAGGTTTGATTCCTATTAACATAATACAGAGGAGGAGTGAATTACTATGTTTGTCCTCTAGTATACTTAAAAAAAAATGTTTTCTTTTAACAATATAAACATATAAACAATATGAGTTTTTTTCCTTCATTCAAAACCTATATGAACTGAACAAATAAATTTCCTAATTTCATTCAAGGTCTGAATTTCTATAAATATTTCTGAGTGTGAAAGAAATCACAATACCAGTATCTTTACAAGGAAGTTATACAAATTTTGAAAATATGAATAATCTTATTTAACCTCTATAATTCTTTAACTTAAAATGCCCTAATATTTCTGTCCCTGTGTGTTAGTATAGAAGAGAAACTGACGAACTATGGACCACAGGCCTGTTTCTGCTCCATCTGCAAGCTATACAATGATTCTGAGTATTAAAGGATTGACAAAAAGAGAGAGAAGAAAAATGGGCAACAGAAACCTATAAGGTCTGCAAAGCATAAGAAATGTACTATTTGCCACTTTACATAAAAAAGTTTACTGACCCCTGGGGTAGAAAACATCTTGAAAGGTACAAACTATGCTTTCATGTTCATGCTTTTACAACTGCCATACTAAGTCAGAATTGATATTATTACAAACAGTTCAATTAATAACATTAGACAGGCTCCGCTGCAGTGGCACACAGGTACTGCCAGCACTTTGGAGGATGGAAGCCACAAGAAGACCTGGGTTTGGTTCCCAAGCCAACCTAAACACATCTGGTATGGCTGTGCACACCTGTATTCCTTGCTTACTAGGGGGCTGGGACAGGAGGATCATAACACAGTAAAACTATCAGAAAAAGAAACCTATCTTTGTCTCTCTCCCTCCTCATTGATCATTTCTCCCTCTCTCATAAAAAAGAAGAAAATTCTTGAAGAACAGTAACATTTAGACATATACTTTTTCAATAGTAAGCATCTAGACTATAAAATGCAAAAATATCCTATAATAATTTTACATTTATATATGATTCTACATGGAGTAAATTTACCAAAACATACTACTCGGGTGACATAGTTAATGATTTGGTTTTTAATAATAATGAAACACATAATAATTAATTTTTTAAAACTAAAAAAATGACACATAAAAAACTGAACTAAAGTAAAATTTGACTTCCGACTTCTTTCTAACCACACTGAATGTCACAGACCCTATACTTGCACTATGATATAATTATAATATTAATAGTCCCATACATTTACAATTCACAAGAATCTGATCTGTGCAAAGAAATGCTGAAAACATCAATTTTAGCTCTTGACATTTCATTACACTATCAGTACATTACAGCCCCCAGGTTATACTACTTAAAAAAAAAAAAACTGTAGTGTTATGCATGTTCCAAGGCTATAAGAGATAGCTTTTTAGAACTTAATAATGTAGTCTAATGTAAATCTAGTTAGAAAGAAACCTTGGATATCTGCACCTATGAGCAATGGAAGAAAAAATTGTCACTAGATAAATTACATGTAACTAGAGTCACAATGTGTCTTGTTTTTTTTCCCTATTAGCAAATGAAAGCTGCTTTCTAACATTTGCATACAGTTAAAGACTCAAAAAGTTGCAATTACAGGAGCCAGCAGGTGACCTGGTGGTTAAGGCACTGGAATTCCTACATGGCTGACTGTGGTTCGAATGCTGGACCTGGTGGCTTGCTTTCTCACTCTCCCTCTCTGTTGTTCTCTGGCAAACTCATGTGAAAATAACAATAATGATAAAAAATAAATAAATTATTTTTTAAAAAGTTGCAATTACATATAAACATTACAAAATCATTGTGTCTGTGCCTAAGGACCTATGTCACAGAATAAAAGATGTTAAAACAATTTTACCTCAAAATATGAGCAACCACAGCTGGTCCATACCAATCTCCGGCTTTTTTCCCAGATTTCTTTCCATACTCTATTAGCTGATGTAAACCAAAGAGAGCCAAGGGAGAATCACCAAACCAAGAGATGATTTTCCTGTGATAAATTTCATTTCGTATTTCGTGATCATCAGAATACTTCTCAATTGTTTCCTTCAGAGAAATTGTTGGGGTTTTGAGTTCTCTTTCCCCTGAAAGTGATGCTTCAACTGATGCAGTAAATTTTTTTACAGTGTGGGAGGTCCATGATTCAGAGTCTGAATTTTCAATATTCAAAGCATCAGGCCAGGTCCAAGCTATAGTAGTTCCAAAGCAAGGTGTTCAGAGCTTTTAAATAGTTAGACTTCACACAATTCTACTGAATCAGTATGCAACATTTAAAGTCATACTGCTTACTAAACTAAAATAGCAAACTCAGAAACAAGCAAATACAGAAAAGAGATTCACAGTTGTTGATGGGGACATATTGGAAATGGCTGCTAATGGGTATAAATTTCTCGGGGGCATGATGAAACTGTTCTAAAATTAGACTATGGTTTTAGTTGTGGGACTCTGTAAATATACTAAGAACCATGAAATAATTCACTTTGAATGAGTGAATCTGTGGCATGTATTGGGTTGTCAGGAAAGTCATAACACATTTTTGCATAGAAAAATACGTCATGACTTTCTTAACAATCTAATAGATTATACCTCAATACAGCTGCTTTACAAAAACAAAGGTATTAGCAAAGAAAATATATCAACATAACAATGTTTATATTTGAGTGAGAAAGTTATTCTCTAGACTTTTCTGTGGTTTCCAAAATTTCTAAAATAGGATTATATTGCATACAGCAAAGGAAAAATATTACCCAAGTAAAAGGCAAAAGAAAGAAAAATATAGTAAACGAGTACAATGACACAATTCTATAATATCCTTTTCTTTCTTTTCTTTTTTTTTTTTAGAGAGATTTTTGCAATAGGGCATGTGCACTTGTAGGAGAGACAGAGAGTGATAAAGAAACATAGAGCAATAAATCACTCCCTATCCCGGGGAGAATGGCCATGTTACAATCCCTTCTCCTCCATTCTCCTCTTAGGATTCTGGGTATACATGCACACACGCCTGGCATGAGTTTAAGCCATCAGGTCCAGGACTTGAACGGCAGTTGACTATGTCACAGTCCAGCAATGTACCCATTACGCCATCTGCTGGTCTCTCTTTCTTTTCTGTGACAGTACTGAGATGGAATACTTTTGTGTTCCATTACAAGAATGATTATCAGACATCCAGTCTTGACTACAAAAATCCACAACAAACATATTTACTATCAGTTATAGCATTGGAGAGGATTTCTTCAGAAAGAGGATTTTGTTTAGATTACATATTAGGATAGAAGTCTGACTATAGAAACTTCATATTTATTTCAAAATATTTTTTCCTGGGCTGGCCCCACAGCCTACTGATTAAGGGAGCTGCACCTTACATGGCCAGCCACTGTTTGAATCCCAGCCCCAGTGACTTGAAAAACATGATAGGCAAGTGTTCATGTGGCCCCAAATTGTAACAAGGTGGGAGAAATAGAGAAGGAACTGCAGCATGACCATGTCCCACTAAAGGGCTCTTTCTTCTTCTCTCTCTCCCTTTGCCTCTCTTTGGCAAATATCTATACCCTCTGGCTATATACATACATACACATAGAGAGAGAGAGAGAGAAAGAAAGAGAAATTGTGTGTATGTGTATAATCTCACCAAAGTCACCATTATTGACCTGGCCAGGACTTACTGAACTGAAGATACTAAAGAGAGTTCAACCAAGAGACAAGAAATAATTACAACAACAACAACAAAAATCCAAAGTCTACTAAAAATTGTACTAACTTACAGCCAGCCCATAGAACAAGGTTAAGTGCTGTGCATGAAGAGCAAGATTCCACATGGCTAACCACAGTTCAAATCTCAGTCCCAGTGGCTTGAAAACACACCAGGTACAAGTGCATGAGTGCCAAAAATCCTGATGGCATGGAGAAATGAACGAAAAAGGTACCACAGCATGAACATGCCCCACTGTGGGATGTATTCTCTCTCTCTCTGGTGTGCACACACACCCTGGCAATTAAAAAAAATGAATAACTTAATTCATAGTGATAACCAAGAATAACAGGTATATTTAGCCTGTTCTTTTGAAAGAGAGATCATGAAAATTCACATGTAAGTCACGTCTGGTCTAGTTCAATAAAAATGTAATATTTGAGATTAGTCACAATTTTAGAAAAACATCAGGGAGTCAAGACATTAACCTCAGAGAATTTTATGCCATTTGCAAGCTGGAGTTAAAACTGCAGACAACAACAAACAACAGAGATTTGATTTACCTCTACCAAGAAAATGTAGTATGAGCCCCTGAGCCAATAGCATCTGTCCAGTTCTCAATGTACAGCCCCAACCACAGTCTGTTGTCAAAGCCGAGCCTTCTATTGGAGGAAATTCTTCCCTGTAAGTCAGCCATATTCTAGAAATGAAATCTCTACGAAATTCTTCTACATTTCCTGCAATTACATGATCTTCTATTGTGCATCCTGATCTTGCAGATAATGCTTTATTTTCATCTACAAAATAAAAGCATAAACTGTAGTCCAGAGATAACCAAAGATATGTCAATAATGGTAACATATTAACATGACTGCCTTAAGATATAAAGTATGTCACAATCCTTCACATCCTTGTTTTTTTCCGATTTTAGAATATAAACCTTATTCTGCTTAATCAGGCTATTATGAAAATCAAATGAGAATGAATGCTGAAATGCTTTATAGAAAGCAGAGATAATTAATATAAGGCATTATGTATAACACCACTGTCAACAATATCATATATTCTACATATAATCAACTTTTTGATGATGGGATGATATAAAAATATATTTTCTTTTTTCTTCATTTGGCTTGGATATACACAATAGAGCTCCCTGAAATCTGATTTGCAAATAAAATGTTCAAACTTGTCAAAATGTAAAAATGTATATAATCACATAAACTAGTTTTTAAAATTAAATAAAATGTGACACTGTATTGTTATGTACATTTACACTGAAATTATAAAATCACGTTAACAAGCTAAAGAGTAAGAATTTAAAAGTCCTTAAAATATCAGTATTTTATGTTCAAACATAACTTTCACAAATTGTTGTCAGCTACATATATCATGATTACAGTCTTTTCCAGATCAATTATCTCTAATACTATTTCAATGTAAAAGCTATAGCCATTGTCTGCCACTGTTCTCAGAATTAACTATCATTTCTTCATTATTCCAAGAAAATCTCAGTCATCTTTACAACCTTGGCATGCAGTACAATGGGTAACCTAAGTAGATCCTAATAAATATTAGTTTGGTGGGTGGATGGGATAGAGTAGATAAATCAAACTACAACTCTCAATTCCAAAGCAGTCAACTTCCAATGTCCTTCTGCAAGATATTTTAAGCGAACGAAGTATTATCATGCTTTTATCTCTCATTCTTCCTGTACCCATACCTCTCTTCAAGTTCATTCTGAAAACTTACAATCACTGTCACTTCATCGATATTCAACTTAGTGGGTAGGTTGACACAAACAGCTTCAATAGTAAGTATATGAATATCAGACTCCATTATCAATGACTTTCTGTCAATGCATTAAATAAAGTTTGAAATTGGGACCAGCAGATGGCATAATGTTTACATCAATGGACTCCCACATAGTCGACCTGGTTCAAGTCTCAGACCCAGCGGCTTAAAACGCATGCCAAGCGCATGTGCATGTGTGCCCAAAATCCTAAGAGGAAAGTGGAGGAGAAGGGATCGTAGCACACCTTGGGGGGTGATTTCTTGCTTTCTGTCTCTGTCTCTCCCTGTTTCTCTGGTGAGTACATACATCCTATAGCAAAAATCTCTCTCAAGCAAAACAAAACCAACCAAATGAACAAACAAAAAACAAAATAAATAAATAGTTTGAAATCAATCAAAATAACAGTGCCTGAAAATTGACCATGTCAGGGAACCAGCAGTTAGCGTAATGGCTATGTTGCTGGACTCCCACGTAGTTGACCGCGGTTCAAGTCCCGGACCCGGTGGCTTAAAACTCACGCCAGGTGCGTGTGCATGCGTGCCCAAGATCCTGAGAGGAGAATGGAGGAGAAGGGATCGCGGTGTGGCCATCCCCCCAGGGAGTGATTTCTCACTTTCTCTCTGTCTCTCTCTGTCTGGCGAGCGCATGCATCCTATAGCAAAAACCTCTCAAAAAAAAAAAAAATTGACCATGTCACATATGTCCACATTTTCTACGTTAGACACTTAAACTTATTTGAAATTTGATACAATAGTGCATAACTCTCACACCTCATCCTTGCCAGTTCATAATCTCCTACCTTTAGGAAATTATTAATTCCTTATCTTTCTGTTTTTTGGCCTTTTTTTAGAGAGATTTTTGATATAGAGTATGTGTACTTACCAAAGAGACAGGAAGCAAGAAATCACCACCCCCCCATAGAGATGGCTGCATCTCAATCCCTTCACCTCCATTCTCTTCTTAGGATCTTGGGCACGCACTTACATATGCCCAGTGTGAGTTTCAAGCTGCTGGGTCTGGGATTTGAACCACGGTGGCCATGTGGGAGTCCAGCAACTTAACTGTTACGCCATCTGCTGGCCCCAATTCCTTATCTTTTAAGATACTGTCTCCTTTTAATATATACGCTAAATATAATTGGAAAACTTCTAGGACTGAATGAACTTCATTGCCCCATTGGCTTTCTGCTCTAACACGGACCCCATGATTCTATTTTTTGACGACTTTGTCTTTTAATTATGCTCATTTTTTAATACATACACTAGCCTCCCTTCCAGATTTCAAATACTCTGGAAGAGGAAGAATATGTTTATTTCTGTATCTTCAGCATGAAGCAGAATTCAGACCATATGAGATGTAAAATAAAAATTTGTTTGGTGAATGTAAGATAAATTAAACCAAAAGAGACAGGGTTTGTTTTGCTTTACTTTTGTTTTTTATGATAGAAGAGGCTTGAGATTAGAGCTTTAAGAAGAATGAATAATTTTTGAAAGAAAAGGAAAGAAAGTTGTTCATAGAAAATGAATAAAATTGCCAATAAAATTGAGGATTTAGGGACCAGCAGTTGACGTAATGGCTATGTCGCTGGACTCCCACGTAGTCGACCGCAGTTCACATCCCAGACCTGGTGGCTTAAACGCACACCAGGCGTGTGTGCATGTGTGCCCAAGATCCCGAGAGTAGAATGGAGAAGAAGGGATTGCGGCATGGCCATCCCCCCTGGGGGGGGGTGATTTCTCGCTTTCTGTCTCTCTGTCTCTCTCTGTCTACCTGGCGAGCGCACACACCCTATAGCAAAAACCTCTCCAAAAAAAAAAAAAATTGAGGATTTAGTCAAGGCTGATTTTTCCAAACAAACAAAAAAACAACAAGAACAATAAAAATTCACAATGAAACAAGGTACTTGAGAAATCATCAGAAAAAAAAAATGCAAAACAAACCTCAAAGAGTACAGCTATTGAAATTGTTAGATTCGATCCTGAGATAGATACTGAACTTGAGCTGTGAAATACTGCTTTCCTTGACCAAAAATGAAGATTTTCTGCTGAGATTTCCCCCTCCAGAATAATTTCTAGTGGGTAGGGCTCCCTCTGGCTCCTTCTCTCCATTTCTCTCTTGCTCTGGCTCCCACTGTGTCTCCCTGTGACTTTTAATTTTTTTTTTCTTAAGATAAAATATTCTCTGGGCCACATGGGAGCCCTGGGTTCACATCCTGGACCTGAGAATGTCAGTACAGTTACCTATGCCTATAATCATAACTAACTGGGAGGCTGGAGCACAGGATTGCAATAGTGAGACCCTATCAAAGGTACCTCTCTCCCTAGGCCAGAAGGTGGCATGGAGGATAAGGCAGCCAGATGCCAACCTAAATCCCAAGAGGAGAACAGAAGAGTAAGGGATTGTGGCATAGCCATTCCCCTGGGGCGGTGATTTCTCTCTCTTTTTCTCTCTCTCTCTCTCACATGAGTACATGTGCCCTATAGCAAAAATAAAAAATTTGACCCAGAGCTTAAATAAAAGCTAAGATTATCAAAATAGAACATTAAAATTTATTGCAATTGTATTCCATATGTTCAAAAAAGTAGAGACATGAAAGATTAAAAAAAAACACTTAATTCAATAGTTCAATCTGGAACTTCTAGACATGAAATATACAATATTCACAATAAAAACACTGAAATTTATAAGCAGATTGGATGCTGTTGAGGAAGATTAGTGAATTTGGTGAAAACAAAGGAACAGGAACCATCTTAAATAAAACAAGCAAAAAAAAAACATTTTATAATTATAAGAATACCAATGAACTGTGGCAAAAGTTCATGCAAGTTAGTATATATGTAATTAAAGAAGAAAAAAAAAAGAGGTCAGCAGGTGGTGTGGTGGTTAAGTTGCTGAATTCCCACATGGCTGACTACGGTTCAAGTCCTGGACCTGACAGCTTGCTTTCTCTCTCTCTCTGGTCTTTCCCTCATCTCTCTGGTGAGTGCATGTGCTCTATAACAAATTTTTAAAAGTAATAAAATTTTTAAAAAAGAAGAAAAAATATTTGGAGACAAAATGGCCCCCAAAATTTTTTATTTAATGAAAACTATGATCCAACAGATCCAAAAACCTATAAAAAAAGAAACAAAAAAAACTATGAGTCACATCATAATAGAAATTGTTCACGCAAGTGATACAAAGAAAAATCTTGGAAGTAGTTAAGAAAAAAATATATGCTATTGATAAGTACAAAAAAGATAGGCAATAGATTACTCACTGGAAACCAAATTTTTGCAAGAAGATTGTAGAGTAACATTTTTTAAAATTTTATTTTAATTGTGTTTATCATTATTATAATTATTTTTAATTTGACCAGAGAGAGAAAGGGAAAGTGAGAAAGCAAGCTCCCAGGTTCAGGACTTGAAACACAGTCAGCCATGTGGGAATCCACGTCACCTGCCAGACCCTGTAGAGTAACATCTTTAAAAGACTGGGGGAGGGGGCCAGAAGATAGTGTGGTAGATAAGGCCTTGGACACTCCCACATGGCTGAGGATTTGAGTCCTGGATCTGGTGGCTTGCTTTCCTACTTTCTCTCTCACTATGTCTCTCTCTGATAAAATTAAAATAAATGAATGAATAAATAAAATTAAATAAATAATTCTTTAAAATAAAAACAAGCCTGGGGGGAAAAACTTATCAACCCAGAATTCTACATCCAGTAAAAATACCTTTCAAAATGAAAGCAAAATAGTTTTTCAAATACACAAAAGCTGGAAAGATAAATCACCAGCAGATATGCATTATAAGAAATCTTAAAGGAAGTCCTTCAAGTAGAAGGAAAGTAATACCAGATGGGAAAAAGGATTTTTGCATAGGGATGAAAGAAACTAAAAATGGTGACTACATAAATTTGGTTATATGGAACCAATGTTTGGTATGCAAATATATTTGTTAACTATAAATATATAACATTTATTATTATATAAATCTCTTTTAAAGGATATTTGAATGTTTAAAC